GTCATTTTTACTTAAGGAGTGAACAAAACCCAAATATATGATGTTTCAAATCAACACAGAAGTAAAACATGATGATTCAGGAGGAATTATTGGATTGCCAACTCTATTTATAGTTAATCTGACTGAAAGAAACAGTTTAAGCACCAAATCATGAAAAATGATAGTAAAGTCCATTCCACATTTTACAGCATGCCTTACATTCCTTTAAGCATTTTCAGATCATGAAGGCAATTTAACAAGATTCTTTAGATGGCAGTTAACTATTACTAGTATTCTAAAGTCTTTTTGACAATACATGTACTAGAATATATCTCTAAGATGACTGTTTGTCTATTTCTCATGTATGCATTAAGTTAAATTATGTCCCCTTAAATAATCAATTTACCTTTATTGTGTATTTCAGGGTCAGAAAATCAAAACAATTCATCATATTTGCATGGAAAATGAATAAACTATTTAATCTTGCTGATATACAATCTTAATCACATTCTTTGTCCAAATAATTGTCTTGTCAATGTAAAGAAACCCCTAATACTATCTCTATTTCAGCTAAATATGAGGGCTAAATGAATAAGTAAGGACCCCTAAACCACTTACTGGTTCCAAAAAAGCTCACACTGGTGCCATGTTACCACAGAACTACAAATTAAACCTAAAGAAAACTAGTATAGCTGTACTTGTGTGGAAAAAAATAAAAAATTATGCGCTTTACTTATTTCGGTGAAAATTATAGGACGTACAGACAACTAAAATATGTCGCGTCTCAAATTCCAGTTGTTGCACATGTGTCAGACACTGCGAAAAGTTAAAGCAAACATTTATTATTAAAAATGTACTGCAAGTTACATAAAAAATAATCAAATTTTACTTTCTAGGTAAATTTTTACATTATTACCCACAGATCAGGCAAAATTTGCTGAATCAGCAATTTTCACTCCCAGGGGTGGAATTAAATGGGCTGTTTTTATTCTAGTTGCCCTTGATCAACTTTTTATTGATAAACTTGCAAATTGTATAGGTGAAAAAAGGACCTCTATTGATTTATTGTAAACATATATATATTCCAGTTAAGGTGGCACGGTAGTATTTCCTGGCCCATAAGGGATAATGATAGCCTTTTTAAACTTTTCACCACTTTCTAGCACTGCCCAAAATTCTATGTACACAGTTTACTGAAGTACTTTCATTATAATTTTCAGAAATGAATTTAAATATGTATCATGACCGTTTACTTTTTTTGCTATCTTTAAAAACCTAAGGCCACTAGTGCTTTTAGGTCTTTTATCATGCAGTGAATACAAAATTTAAAAAAATTCTCAAAAATTCATTTTCACCTGTATGTAAAATTATTTCATATTTTTCTACACCTGATTCATCCCTCAGTTTTGGAAAATATGTTCAGTTGATACTGTATTTTTTGTCCAATCACACTGTTCAAATACATTGACTTAGGTAGGGTACACAAAAGAGCAACCTAAATTCCGGAATGCAAATACTACCGTGCTACCTTAACCAAGACATCACAAACTTGAAACCAGTCATAACACCTATGATGCATAGACTTCTTACTAGGAAACATATTACAATAAAGAATACTAGTCTGCACTAATTCCTTACCCCAAAAAATTTAAAGATTATACCCCTACCCCAGCTGGCAGATTTTACCTTTTTTTTCATCCTGCCATTTTTACTTAAGGAGTGAACAAAACCCAAATATATGATGTTTCAAATCAACACAGAAGTAAAACATGATGATTCAGGGGGAATTATTGGATTGCCAACTCTATTTATAGTTAATCTGACTGAAAGAAACAGTTTAAGCACCAAATCATGAAAAATGATAGTAAAGTCCATTCCACATTTTACAGCATGCCTTACATTCCTTTAAGCATTTTCAGATCATGAAGGCAATTTAACAAGATTCTTTAGATGGCAGTTAACTATTACTAGTATTCTAAAGTCTTTTTGACAATACATGTACTAGAATATATCTCTAAGATGACTGTTTGTCTATTTCTCATGTATGCATTAAGTTAAATTATGTCCCCTTAAATAATCAATTTACCTTTATTGTGTATTTCAGGGTCAGAAAATCAAAACAATTCATCATATTTGCATGGAAAATGAATAAACTATTTAATCTTGCTGATATACAATCTTAATCACATTCTTTGTCCAAATAATTGTCTTGTCAATGTAAAGAAACCCCTAATACTATCTCTATTTCAGCTAAATATGAGGGCTAAATGAATAAGTAAGGACCCCTAAACCACTTACTGGTTCCAAAAAAGCTCACACTGGTGCCATGTTACCACAGAACTACAAATTAAACCTAAAGAAAACTAGTATAGCTGTACTTGTGTGGAAAAAAATAAAAAATTATGCACTTTACTTATTTCGGTGAAAATTATAGGACGTACAGACAACTAAAATATGTCGCGTCTCAAATTCCAGTTGTTGCACATGTGTCAGACACTGCGAAAAGTTAAAGCAAACATTTATTATTAAAAATGTACTGCAAGTTACATAAAAAATAATCAAATTTTACTTTCTAGGTAAATTTTTACATTATTACCCACAGATCAGGCAAAATTTGCTGAATCAGCAATTTTCACTCCCAGGGGTGGAATTAAATGGGCTGTTTTTATTCTAGTTGCCCTTGATCAACTTTTTATTGATAAACTTGCAAATTGTATAGGTGAAAAAAGGACCTCTATTGATTTATTGTAAACATATATATATTCCAGTTAAGGTGGCACGGTAGTATTTCCTGGCCCATAAGGGATAATGATAGCCTTTTTAAACTTTTCACCACTTTCTAGCACTGCCCAAAATTCTATGTACACAGTTTACTGAAGTACTTTCATTATAATTTTCAGAAATGAATTTAAATATGTATCATGACCGTTTACTTTTTTTGCTATCTTTAAAAACCTAAGGCCACTAGTGCTTTTAGGTCTTTTATCATGCAGTGAATACAAAATTTAAAAAAATTCTCAAAAATTCATTTTCACCTGTATGTAAAATTATTTCATATTTTTCTACACCTGATTCATCCCTCAGTTTTGGAAAATATGTTCAGTTGATACTGTATTTTTTGTCCAATCACACTGTTCAAATACATTGACTTAGGTAGGGTACACAAAAGAGCAACCTAAATTCCGGAATGCAAATACTACCGTGCTACCTTAACCAAGACATCACAAACTTGAAACCAGTCATAACACCTATGATGCATAGACTTCTTACTAGGAAACATATTACAATAAAGAATACTAGTCTGCACTAATTCCTTACCCCAAAAAATTTAAAGATTATACCCCTACCCCAGCTGGCAGATTTTACCTTTTTTTTCATCCTGCCATTTTTACTTAAGGAGTGAAAAAAACCCAAATATATGATGTTTCAAATCAACACAGAAGTAAAACATGATGATTCAGGGGGAATTATTGGATTGCCAACTCTATTTATAGTTAATCTGACTGAAAGAAACAGTTTAAGCACCAAATCATGAAAAATGATAATAAAGTCCATTCCACATTTTACAGCATGCCTTACATTCCTTTAAGCATTTTCAGATCATGAAGGCAATTTAACAAGATTCTTTAGATGGCAGTTAACTATTACTAGTATTCTAAAGTCTTTTTGACAATACATGTACTAGAATATATCTCTAAGATGACTGTTTGTCTATTTCTCATGTATGCATTAAGTTAAATTATGTCCCCTTAAATAATCAATTTACCTTTATTGTGTATTTCAGGGTCAGAAAATCAAAACAATTCATCATATTTGCATGGAAAATGAATAAACTATTTAATCTTGCTGATATACAATCTTAATCACATTCTTTGTCCAAATAATTGTCTTGTCAATGTAAAGAAACCCCTAATACTATCTCTATTTCAGCTAAATATGAGGGCTAAATGAATAAGTAAGGACCCCTAAACCACTTACTGGTTCCAAAAAAGCTCACACTGGTGCCATGTTACCACAGAACTACAAATTAAACCTAAAGAAAACTAGTATAGCTGTACTTGTGTGGAAAAAAATAAAAAATTATGCACTTTACTTATTTCGGTGAAAATTATAGGACGTACAGACAACTAAAATATGTCGCGTCTCAAATTCCAGTTGTTGCACATGTGTCAGACACTGCGAAAAGTTAAAGCAAACATTTATTATTAAAAATGTACTGCAAGTTACATAAAAAATAATCAAATTTTACTTTCTAGGTAAATTTTTACATTATTACCCACAGATCAGGCAAAATTTGCTGAATCAGCAATTTTCACTCCCAGGGGTGGAATTTAAGGGCTGTTTTTATTCTAGTTGCCCTTGATCAACTTTTTATTGATAAACTTACAAATTGTATAGGTGAAAAAAGGACCTCTATTGATTTATTGTAAACATATATATTCCAGTTAAGGTGGCACGGTAGTATTTCCTGGCCCATAAGGGATAATGATAGCCTTTTTAAACTTTTCACCACTTTCTAGCACTGCCCAAAATTCTATGTACACAGTTTACTGAAGTACTTTCATTATAATTTTCAGAAATGAATTTAAATATGTATCATGACCGTTTACTTTTTTGCTATCTTTAAAAACCTAAGGCCACTAGTGCTTTTAGGTCTTTTATCATGCAGTGAATACAAAATTAAAAAAAATTCTCAAAAATTCATTTTCACCTGTATGTAAAATTATTTCATATTTTTCTATACCTGATTCATCCCTCAGTTTGGGAAAATATGTTCAGTTGATACTGTATTTTTTGTCCAATCACACTGTTCAAATACATTGACTTAGGTAGGGTACACAAAAGAGCAACCTAAATTCCGGAATGCAAATACTACCGTGCTACCTTTATAGCTAGCTAAAACTCTCACTTCTATGACATAAAATTCTAATAATAATTGTGTGCTGGTTATACGATAAATATTTCTTATTCCGAATGGAGTTTAAAGACAAGGAACTATAATTCACTCAATATGTGTATTTTTAAAGTTCATTTACCTGGCATGAACCAGTTTACATACACATGCAAAATGTTGACAAAACACACCGACGAACAGATTTCTTCATAGTTGTAGAAATTAAGGAATGAGAGACCTATTGATAAATCAAGCATCATAGTCGATTAAAATGTAGGTTGAGACAACTTTACATAATACATTCGATAATTGTTTTTTAATCATGTTTACAAAATACACTATTTATTTGCACAAACACGTTGAGATTAAATGATTATGGTATTATCAAATACAAACAATAAAACAAATAAAGAATATCGTATAATAATAGGACACTGACAATATCTTTCTTATTTGAATTTCAAAAAATAAGAAGAAAAAAGATGACTGCAAAAAACCAGTGCATTCCTAAATCATCAGTTATGTCAATGAACAAACATGAAAACATTATTAACATTTAGACAGATGTCCTTGAGATAGGACAATCATTCATAAATTTTGCAGTGATTTTTATAATGGCGAATCGCTGCTCAACAGTGTGTTAAACTCCCTCAATGATATTGATTGTAATCTAATACGATTTAAATGTGTGTTTATTTTCTAAATATAGGCATCTCTACAAAGGGTATTTAATAAATACAATGTGTATTTTACTTGTTCATTATAACACAGTTTTTGAAACAATTATAGTTGTTAGATTGTTATCCTGTTGACATAATTTTGAAAGAACATTAATTCAGACATGGGTGATTATAAACAGATTTTAAGACCAAAAAGCTATGGATATGACATTCAGTCATAATAATGGTCTGATTTCTAATTATTTTTTTTGTAACAACAACTTGCAAAGTAAAAAGACCACGAGCCTAGCCGATTTAGTGCTTGGTGCTTAATATAACCATTTACTTATTATTATTAGATATAAGAGAAGAAAAACAGTCAATAAAGCACTTAACATACCTCTAATTCAAGGTTGTGTATTGATATCAAGTAGTTGTTTGTTGTTATTTGACAGGTATTCATATTTGGTCTATAAACCACATAATATTTTAACTGCTTCTACATTAATAAAGGCAACAGTAGTATAAAGTAAAATCACAAAAAAACTCCGAGGAAAATTCAAAACGGAAAGTCGCTAATCAAATGGCAAAATCAAAAGCTCAAACACATCAAACGAATGGATAACAACTGTCATATTCCTGACTTGGTACAGCGTTTTCTTAGTATACCGCTGTTAAAAAGAACATAACTGTCCCATGTTAGGGGGAGGGTTGGGATCCCGCTAACATGTTTAACCCCGCCACATTCTGTATGTATGTGCCTGTCCCAAGTCAGGATCCTGTAATTCAGTGGTTGTCGTTTGTTGATGTGTTACATATTTGTTTTTCGTTTATTTTTTGTACATAAATTAGACCGTTAGGTTTCTCGTTTGAATTGTTTTACATTTGTCATTTCGGGGCCTTTTATAGCTGACTATGCGGTATGGGCTTTGCTCATTGTTGAATGCCGTCCGTGACCTATAGTTGTTAATTCCTGTGTCATTTGGTCTCTTGTGGAGAAATGTCTCATTCACAATCATATACCACATCTTCTTTTTTATATCAATATAAAAAAAAAACAATTGTAGTAATATCTAATTCTTGACTTAGTTCTGTAAATATTTGAAAACATTAACTGACATTTGATTCAGGTTCAGGTTGAAGAATCGTCAATTATGAATAAAAATGAAAAATATTCGCGGTATCGTAAGCGTTTTATTTTCATATAATTATCCAGAAAGATCACTAACGACTAACGCAGTCTTGGAAAGAGTAAAACGATTGATAGAGGACTTATGATTTTTGTTCTCTTCAATTTCCATGTTGATACAAAATTTTTAATGCTTTTAAATAAGGTGGTAAAATTCAATAACTGACCATTTGTCTGACAGTGTATGTTAATTTTTTGGACTGATTCCGATCGCGTTAAAAGAATAATCGTCGAAAACAACATGTGGTAACTTTTTACATAGATTATTAGTTTTTTTATTTTGTAATCTGGTGCAAAACATCTGTAGTTATTGTTTGCTATTTTGTTGTGTATTCTTCCAGACACAACTTGTGTGTTGGATTATTGTGATATGTGTGTGCATTGTGTACGAAGAGAAATGATTTATAGAATTATAAAATAATAGGAACACATTTTAATAAGATTAAAGTAAAACACAAATACTGATGTTTTTATCAAAAGTGTGGCAATATGCACAGGGAGTAATACCATATAACATGCAATAGCTTTGTGTTTTAATTTTTTGCAGATTGAAGTGATATACTAACATGTGTATAATGAAAACAGCAGGACTACCCTGGTTTCTTCAAGTAAGTACATTTTCTTTTTCATTTAAGTATATTTTTATTATTTGGCATATGTACATTTATGTTTGTTAAGTTTGTTCACACCTCTTTGATTTAGAGCCGGAGCTTTGTCCTTGTAGAACTAGATTGTGCAGAATGTTACTCAAGATTGATCAATTGAGGATTTAACTTGAAAATAAGAAGATGTGATGTGGTTGCCAAAGATCCACGAAGACAAAACAAACAATTATGTTGGCTACGGCTCAGACAAAAGTATAACTGTCTACAAAGATACCGAACTCCAAGACAAGAGACGGCTGGTTACAAATTTTAGTAACTAACCAGCGTTTGTTGTTGCTGTTATTTTATTCATAAAAGAGGGGCGAAAGATACAAGAGGGACAGTCAAACTCATAGATCGAAAATAAACTGACAACGCCATGGCTAAAAATGAAAAAGACAAACAGACAAATAATAGTACACAAGGCACGAAATAGAAAACTAAAGACTAAGCAACACGAACCCCACTAAAAACTGGGGGTGATCTCAGGTGCTCCGGAAGGGTAAGCAGATCCTGCTCCACATGTGGCACCCATCGTGTTGCTCATGTTATTACAAACCCGGAAAATAGTCTAATTCGGTAGGTCACATTCATGAAAGGGAAGGGGATTGTAGTTACGACGTAAGGAACATATCCGATATCATCTGTGAAATAGTTATTCCACAACGGTCAACCAACTTGTGATGGCGTCCGTAAAATTTACGAAGGGATGATTTCAACTTCACCATTTGGAACTCTTGGTTTAATAGCTTCCTTGTGAGCAGGAACCCTCTATCAAGGAATTCATAATAGGAAATACAAACACGGGAATATCGTATCAATTGGGAGATATATACTTCGTATGCAGGCGCTGCTGGAATGTTGCTACTTAGAAATGGAAAGTTCACAATTGGGAAGCTGTAATCATCTCTTTTGTCGTAAAGTTTTGTTTTCAACCGACCCTCATTGTCAATTTCTAGATGTAAGTCAAGATATAAGGCCGACTTAACTGTATCTGTTGTATCCTTTATCTCTAGTTCGATGGGATAGATGCGTTCAACATAATCACCAAATTTTGAATTATTTAGTGAGAGAACATCATCTATATAGGGGAAAGTAAAGTTAAAGGATATTGCTAACTTCTTATCTTTCTTCCTAAGATGCTTCTGTATGAAGTCAGCGTCATAATAATAAAGAAACAAGTCGGCAAGAAGAGGGGCACAATTGGTTCCCATTGGAATGCCGAAAGTCTGTTGAAAAACACGTCCTCCAAACGTAACAAATATGTTGTACACATCTCAGTATTGCTTAGACTATTGTTATAATCAAAATCATTGCACACAGTTCAATATTTCTTGTTGTAGTGACGTCATAAGGATGTGCACATATTTATACTAAGCGTCTGTATTTATATGGAACGGAAATTAGCAATACGTGTAAAACAAATATTGACAGTAATCACTACAGGCATTTGACAAAAAATGTATAAAAAAGAATGAAGGAACAGCTAGTATTGCTGTTGTTTTTATCAAGGAACTATTAAAGCTGTAAACACTTAGCATGCCTCGATGCATCTATGAGTCGTTTCAGCACTAGTTTTAGCGAAATACGTTGCTTAAAAATGTGGATTGAAGACTACAGCTGCATCATTCTATCGAAACGAATGAAACAATTTGAATAAAAAAAATAATCATATCATAGATTGCTGAAAACTTCACGTCATATCGCAAAAATATTACAACAGTTTAGGAAACCACATCAAGACATTTGTTAGATATAACTTTGCAGGGAATGTTGTATGAAAGGTGAAACACATTCGGATGGTCTTTATGACAATATCGATATATAAAACGTATAAAAAAGAGAAGATAAAGAAGATCATATACGAGGGACACTATTTCACGAATACACATCAAAATGACAGACCAAAGAGGGCGTTTGTACTGAATTTACACAACACGCGATACAAATCATTTTCAATTATTATTTCTGTCTTTACTCATAAAATGAAATGTTCATTATTTGTTGTTAGCGAAGGGTAAATAATTTAGAATAAAACAAAAGGCAATTGAACACATCCTATTATAAATATGACAGCAAACGATACTTTTTTCTTTTAAATTTTACATCAGTAAACTCGTAACATTTATAACATATATGACATTTGTCAATTTATTTTGTTTTTACCCGATTGAGGTTCATTTGCTTTTTGCCGTAAACAGTAAATCATAAGATTTCATAGAATATAGAATGGAAGCGGGGAATGTGTTAAAGAGACAACTACCCAACCATATATATATATACCTTGAAGGGTCTATAAAATGTTTTTGATAATCATAAACGAATTTGGCGTTCTTCTCTTTGTGTATTAAAGGCATATTTGAAAAGAGAGATACGATAACATTACAATTTGACCATCGTTTGTACAGAAGAAACCTATGGGTTCCAAATTGTGTAACAACAATCCTGTTCTATTTAACTCAAATGGGACCTTCCGAATTAGACTTATCATCGAATCTATTGTTACATGCACATCATGACAAATGCTACTTATGGCGCGTGATCTGCTTATCCTTCCGGGGCACCTTAGATCACACATTGTTTTTAATGGTGTTCGTGTTGCTTAGTTTATTTTATGTACTATTGTGTGAACTGTTGTTTGTCCTTTTGGCGAAATAGAAAACTAAAGACTAAGCAACACGAACCCCACTAAAAACTGGGGGTGATCTCAGGTGCTCCGGAAGGGTAAGCAGATCCTGCTCCACATGTGGCACCCATCGTGTTGCTCATGTTATTACAAACCCGGAAAATAGTCTAATTCGGTAGGTCACATTCATGAAAGGGAAGGGGATTGTAGTTACGACGTAAGGAACATATCCGATATCATCTGTGAAATAGTTATTCCACAACGGTCAACCAACTTGTGATGGCGTCCGTAAAATTTACGAAGGGATGATTTCAACTTCACCATTTGGAACTCTTGGTTTAATAGCTTCCTTGTGAGCAGGAACCCTCTATCAAGGAATTCATAATAGGAAATACAAACACGGGAATATCGTATCAATTGGGAGATATATACTTCGTATGCAGGCGCTGCTGGAATGTTGCTACTTAGAAATGGAAAGTTCACAATTGGGAAGCTGTAATCATCTCTTTTGTCGTAAAGTTTTGTTTTCAACCGACCCTCATTGTCAATTTCTAGATGTAAGTCAAGATATAAGGCCGACTTAACTGTATCTGTTGTATCCTTTATCTCTAGTTCGATGGGATAGATGCGTTCAACATAATCACCAAATTTTGAATTATTTAGTGAGAGAACATCATCTATATAGGGGAAAGTAAAGTTAAAGGATATTGCTAACTTCTTATCTTTCTTCCTAAGATGCTTCTGTATGAAGTCAGCGTCATAATAATAAAGAAACAAGTCGGCAAGAAGAGGGGCACAATTGGTTCCCATTGGAATGCCGAAAGTCTGTTGAAAAACACGTCCTCCAAACGTAACAAATATGTTGTACACATCTCAGTATTGCTTAGACTATTGTTATAATCAAAATCATTGCACACAGTTCAATATTTCTTGTTGTAGTGACGTCATAAGGATGTGCACATATTTATACTAAGCGTCTGTATTTATATGGAACGGAAATTAGCAATACGTGTAAAACAAATATTGACAGTAATCACTACAGGCATTTGACAAAAAATGTATAAAAAAGAATGAAGGAACAGCTAGTATTGCTGTTGTTTTTATCAAGGAACTATTAAAGCTGTAAACACTTAGCATGCCTCGATGCATCTATGAGTCGTTTCAGCACTAGTTTTAGCGAAATACGTTGCTTAAAAATGTGGATTGAAGACTACAGCTGCATCATTCTATCGAAACGAATGAAACAATTTGAATAAAAAAAATAATCATATCATAGATTGCTGAAAACTTCACGTCATATCGCAAAAATATTACAACAGTTTAGGAAACCACATCAAGACATTTGTTAGATATAACTTTGCAGGGAATGTTGTATGAAAGGTGAAACACATTCGGATGGTCTTTATGACAATATCGATATATAAAACGTATAAAAAAGAGAAGATAAAGAAGATCATATACGAGGGACACTATTTCACGAATACACATCAAAATGACAGACCAAAGAGGGCGTTTGTACTGAATTTACACAACACGCGATACAAATCATTTTCAATTATTATTTCTGTCTTTACTCATAAAATGAAATGTTCATTATTTGTTGTTAGCGAAGGGTAAATAATTTAGAATAAAACAAAAGGCAATTGAACACATCCTATTATAAATATGACAGCAAACGATACTTTTTTCTTTTAAATTTTACATCAGTAAACTCGTAACATTTATAACATATATGACATTTGTCAATTTATTTTGTTTTTACCCGATTGAGGTTCATTTGCTTTTTGCCGTAAACAGTAAATCATAAGATTTCATAGAATATAGAATGGAAGCGGGGAATGTGTTAAAGAGACAACTACCCAACCATATATATATATACCTTGAAGGGTCTATAAAATGTTTTTGATAATCATAAACGAATTTGGCGTTCTTCTCTTTGTGTATTAAAGGCATATTTGAAAAGAGAGATACGATAACATTACAATTTGACCATCGTTTGTACAGAAGAAACCTATGGGTTCCAAATTGTGTAACAACAATCCTGTTCTATTTAACTCAAATGGGACCTTCCGAATTAGACTTATCATCGAATCTATTGTTACATGCACATCATGACAAATGCTACTTATGGCGCGTGATCTGCTTATCCTTCCGGGGCACCTTAGATCACACATTGTTTTTAATGGTGTTCGTGTTGCTTAGTTTATTTTATGTACTATTGTGTGAACTGTTGTTTGTCCTTTTGGCGAAATAGAAAACTAAAGACTAAGCAACACGAACCCCACTAAAAACTGGGGGTGATCTCAGGTGCTCCGGAAGGGTAAGCAGATCCTGCTCCACATGTGGCACCCATCGTGTTGCTCATGTTATTACAAACCCGGAAAATAGTCTAATTCGGTAGGTCACATTCATGAAAGGGAAGGGGATTGTAGTTACGACGTAAGGAACATATCCGATATCATCTGTGAAATAGTTATTCCACAACGGTCAACCAACTTGTGATGGCGTCCGTAAAATTTACGAAGGGATGATTTCAACTTCACCATTTGGAACTCTTGGTTTAATAGCTTCCTTGTGAGCAGGAACCCTCTATCAAGGAATTCATAATAGGAAATACAAACACGGGAATATCGTATCAATTGGGAGATATATACTTCGTATGCAGGCGCTGCTGGAATGTTGCTACTTAGAAATGGAAAGTTCACAATTGGGAAGCTGTAATCATCTCTTTTGTCGTAAAGTTTTGTTTTCAACCGACCCTCATTGTCAATTTCTAGATGTAAGTCAAGATATAAGGCCGACTTAACTGTATCTGTTGTATCCTTTATCTCTAGTTCGATGGGATAGATGCGTTCAACATAATCACCAAATTTTGAATTATTTAGTGAGAGAACATCATCTATATAGGGGAAAGTAAAGTTAAAGGATATTGCTAACTTCTTATCTTTCTTCCTAAGATGCTTCTGTATGAAGTCAGCGTCATAATAATAAAGAAACAAGTCGGCAAGAAGAGGGGCACAATTGGTTCCCATTGGAATGCCGAAAGTCTGTTGAAAAACACGTCCTCCAAACGTAACAAATATGTTGTACACATCTCAGTATTGCTTAGACTATTGTTATAATCAAAATCATTGCACACAGTTCAATATTTCTTGTTGTAGTGACGTCATAAGGATGTGCACATATTTATACTAAGCGTCTGTATTTATATGGAACGGAAATTAGCAATACGTGTAAAACAAATATTGACAGTAATCACTACAGGCATTTGACAAAAAATGTAAAAAAAAGAATGAAGGAACAGCTAGTATTGCTGTTGTTTTTATCAAGGAACTATTAAAGCTGTAAACACTTAGCATGCCTCGATGCATCTATGAGTCGTTTCAGCACTAGTTTTAGCGAAATACGTTGCTTAAAAATGTGGATTGAAGACTACAGCTGCATCATTCTATCGAAACGAATGAAACAATTTGAATAAAAAAAATAATCATATCATAGATTGCTGAAAACTTCACGTCATATCGCAAAAATATTACAACAGTTTAGGAAACCACATCAAGACATTTGTTAGATATAACTTTGCAGGGAATGTTGTATGAAAGGTGAAACACATTCGGATGGTCTTTATGACAATATCGATATATAAAACGTATAAAAAAGAGAAGATAAAGAAGATCATATACGAGGGACACTATTTCACGAATACACATCAAAATGACAGACCAAAGAGGGCGTTTGTACTGAATTTACACAACACGCGATACAAATCATTTTCAATTATTATTTCTGTCTTTACTCATAAAATGAAATGTTCATTATTTGTTGTTAGCGAAGGGTAAATAATTTAGAATAAAACAAAAGGCAATTGAACACATCCTATTATAAATATGACAGCAAACGATACTTTTTTCTTTTAAATTTTACATCAGTAAACTCGTAACATTTATAACATATATGACATTTGTCAATTTATTTTGTTTTTACCCGATTGAGGTTCATTTGCTTTTTGCCGTAAACAGTAAATCATAAGATTTCATAGAATATAGAATGGAAGCGGGGAATGTGTTAAAGAGACAACTACCCAACCATATATATATATACCTTGAAGGGTCTATAAAATGTTTTTGATAATCATAAACGAATTTGGCGTTCTTCTCTTTGTGTATTAAAGGCATATTTGAAAAGAGAGATACGATAACATTACAATTTGACCATCGTTTGTACAGAAGAAACCTATGGGTTCCAAATTGTGTAACAACAATCCTGTTCTATTTAACTCAAATGGGACCTTCCGAATTAGACTTATCATCGAATCTATTGTTACATGCACATCATGACAAATGCTACTTATGGCGCGTGATCTGCTTATCCTTCCGGGGCACCTTAGATCACACATTGTTTTTAATGGTGTTCGTGTTGCTTAGTTTATTTTATGTACTATTGTGTGAACTGTTGTTTGTCCTTTTGGCGCTTTTTTTTTTGCCATGGTAATGTCGTTTTTTTCTGCCTTTTTATATCTTTGTGGTATCTTTGGCCTCTTATAGTTTGTATTCATTTTTTCATTTTAATATTTGATCAATGTCAGAAAGGATCAAAGTACAGCAGTGGTACGTTTATATAAAGACTAAAAGTTGGAATTGTAAAAATCAAATAACAATACTTCATGACCTTATATAATCTGTCGAGTAACCAAACTTATAATATTTGACAGGTCATTGCTGTGACGTTTTTATATGAGTTAAAATGTCCAGCGCCAGGACATTGGCGTCTCAGAGCAAGAAAATTTTACTGTGGTCAGAGATATGTGTGTTTGTTGCGTTCACCAGAGAATTCGTATCGTGAGACCTGTGATGGACTCGATTATAGCAGCACAGGTAATATTATTATTAACTATCAATAACCGATTGCCCCATGATATCTTGTCTCCTATCGTAATGGACTTTTCAATAAAACAAAACTCTGCTTTGATAAACTGCTTCAATTTCAGATTTACATTCATCTAGCTAGTGAATTAGTCATACTGAGGGGGAAAGATAATACGGCGTCTTTCATTTTATTAAATAAACCAAAAATTGTGTTAACCGTATTACCAATATATGTTAAATAGGACATATCAAACATTTCAAAGAAGTCACATTATTAAACACATTCCACATCAATAGTCAATGTATAGTTACAACTGACGATTGTCTTTACTTGAGACAGGCACATGCAAATGTCGCGGGGTTAGGTATGTATAGATATCTGATACCGCAAACCTTTCTGATTGTAGCAGTAAAGACAAACAGACAAACAATAGTACACAAAACACAAGCAACACAAACCCCATCAAAACAGGTCCTGAAGGGTAAGCATACCATGCTCCACACGTGGCACCCGTCGTGTTGCTCATGTCAATACAAAAACTGGTAAAAAGAAAGTATTCATTGCAATCAAAAGTCTATACTCATCCAATAAAAATATTGAATAGATAGACAGATAAGAAAAGTCAAAGTGTAGAAGATACTTACTTGGCTGGTAAGACGGAGTCTGAGGTATTCTTGCCAGACTTATTGTTTTTTGCAGGGTGCCAACACCATTTGATGATATTATTGTATTGAGCAATAAAACTACCATACTAGTAACTTAAATTGATATTAACACTTATTTGTTTGTTTTTTTGTTTTCCCTTTTTGTTGACAGTGATGTTCATTTAACTCCTGCGTACGATGCTTAAATTTCTCACCTCATTTGTGTTTATTGTTGTTTTTAAGAATATAAAATAAACATAGTTTACAAAATTTCAATCCCAGTATCTATGGATGAGTTTATTTACCATAAAGTAGGGGTTGTGCTACAATGATTAACTAATTTATATTACAAAATTATCCTCTTCCAATTACTGTTATATCAATTTTAGGCAGCAAACTTATATTTGAACCGTATTTCAACAAAGCAGGATGCAGATACTCACGGTATCAGCCTTTTCCATTTTCAACTGATGGTAACAATAAGTGTGTGTATCAAAAGTCATTTTGTAATGAAGAGGGTCAGATCGTCTACCGCGAAGGAAGTATGATAAATGATACAACATGTGGATGCGATTCGTCTCAAGGGTACAAATTTGTGACCACGCCAAAGCACAACTGCTATTGTATACCCTCAGAGGAAGACTGTTCATGTCACAAACTCATTTGTAATAATGAAGGTAAATGTGAACAAACATGTTACTTCACAACCCTGATGTATACCCTAATAGAATGTCGATGTAAAAAGAAAACAAAAACAAAACTACCGAACTCAAAGGAAAATTCAGATCGGAAAGTCCGTTATCAAATTAAAAATCAAAAGCACAAACACATCAAACGAATGACAAACACATGTCATATTCCTGACTTTGTACATTCCACTTAATGCTACTGCTGTATCCGTATTGATTTCTGTTTTGAAAAACAGCCAGCAAATAATTTGGTAAAGCTGAAGAACATTTTAAATTATTCTACTCATTGGTTATGCGCTTGTTCCTCTGCAACTATCTATATTATGGAACAGTTATGTATTAAAATTCTTGGAACACAAACCCCTAATGCAAATGATAAATTATAGCCTATAACAAAGAAAACACTTTTTACTGATATTCGTCTAATGAGAACGACATTATAACCTTCATTACAGACAAACATTTAATTATCACAACATTTAAATATGAAACCTTTCAATTTTCTGTCTATTAACGAAAATGCTGATTAATGTTAGTTGATTTTTTTTGTTATACGGTATATATGAATTTGTATGCCATTTGTTAAAAAAACTTATAATAACCAACGGATACAAAAAACTTATTCTTGCAATATATGTACTTCAATTAATTTCATGTTATTTTTGTCATTACAGCTAACCCGTGTCCCTATATTGGTACTGCTGTTCGGAATAAGTCATGTCTAGAAATTATCGTCAGACCGTAAGTAAATTGCCACTTTGAAACACATCTAGCCTTTCAGTTTTTTTTTTACTTTAGCACGGCTTCCGTTCTATTGAAGGAATTTTATGAAAGATGTATGTTGTTATTCTGCGGTTTAAGGTAGTTCAGGGGTATACTGTCATCTTGAATTGTACAATCACAGTAAATAATCGGTCTAGTTCTTTCCCTAAATCTGCAAATTTGGAGACAGATGTGCAATTTATTGGTTACACTGTTTATTTATATAAAGAAAACTTAGTTTTTCAGTGCATTATAAAAAAATGTTTAAACAAATACCAATTATTTGTGCTGTTAGAATTAATTTTTCAAATAAGCCATTTAAGGGGAGATAACTCTTTTAGTACGAAATTTATACTGGACATATAGGGAAATTTTCATTTTTTACTTGTAGCAAGAAAACAAGTTCCGTGATACCATTTTTTCTTTTTATTTTCTTAAAATATATTATAAAACCTATCTTCTCATATTTTATTTAAAAATTCTGTCACGTAGATGTCTTTTTATGCACAAAAATGTGTTTTTTCATGAACAATCTAAGCAAATTTTGGCAATTTTGAACGACTCGTACCTTGAAAGATAGCGCGGTGACCCATACTTTTTATCATTTTTTTTAAAAAAGCATAGTAAAATCTTCATTTTGGCAAAGCATAAGAAAATTTTTTTTCATTTTTTCTATACCCCTGAACTACTTTAAGGAATGTAATGTACTGTCATATTATATTATTTATTAATGCGTTTCTCTGTACTTGTTCTTGTGATTGTTTGTACTGTTTTTCTGTTACGTATTGCTGTCATTTTAGCGTTATTTTTTTATCATTGCCATATAAACTGGGGGTAAAGCTAGCCATAAGACAAGGTTTAACCCACAAGTTTTTCTTAAAATGTCCTGTATCAAGTCAGGCATGGTAGTTGTTATCAAATAGTTTGTTTCTTTGCATTTTGGTGTTTGTTTTTGTTTTCCGTTGTTTTCCTCTTATAGTTGATGTGCCTCCCTTGGTTTAAGATTGCAACCTGGATTTGTTTTTCTCTCCATCGATCTATGACTTTTGAACAGTAATAATTCTTTTCTAACTCAGGACTAGATTACCTGAGCTGTATTTGGCAAAACTTTAAGGAAATTTTGGTCCTCAATGATAATGCATGTACCAAGTCAGGAATATGACAGTTGTTATGCATTCGTTTGATGTGTTTGAGTTTTTGATTTTCTCATTTGATTAGGGACTTTCCGTTTTGAATTTTTCTCGAAGTTCAGTATTTTTGTGATTTTACTTTTTTCTTAAACTTTGTACTCATATGGCTTTTTTTAAATTCTATGCTTCGAGCGTCACTGATGAGTCTTTTGAAGACGAAACGCGCGTCTGGCGTAAATACATAATTGTAATTATCGTATTTGTGATGAGTTTATATACTACTGTTGCTCACATAAATGACAGCAATGCTTTCAATTATAATGAAAAGAATTAGCTTTAATAATTCAGACCATAAACATAAAGTTTGAAAATAGAAATACCTGAAAATCTTTTTTTGTTTCTAAGTAGTTTTTATAAGCAAGCTATGAAGTGCTCGGTTTTGTAAACAAATTTCAAAACGTGATACTATTATTTTTCTAACTTGAAATATTTTGTAACACTATTAACTTTATGATCAGTTGTGCGGATCTATGAAAAGTGTACCATTTATGTAATGTGCCCTCCTAATTCATACGGCAAATAATTTCGAGTTGTACGTACTTTCAAGGCGAAACAAGGAAAAATGTCGTATACACTTTGATATGCTTTACCTTTATGACAAAAATAGTTCATAGAGTTTAATGGTGAAGAAACACGGTCCCAAAGCTTATTTATGTCATTTCGGCAGTCTTTAACTTGTGAAAAAATGTTAGTTGTCGGACTTTTCTCTGATTATATCATTATATTATTAACATGATGACGTAACAGCCTAATACATGAATATGTTTTACTTTTCACAAATCCTTCACGGTTTCTGCCATATGTAATATACTTCAATCTAAACTATCTTACTAGTATTTATCTATTAAGGTTTTCGAGTTCATTACGTGTCAAGATATTAAGGTTTTCGAGTTCATTACGTGTCAAGATATAAAGGTTTTCGAGTTCATTACGTGTCAAGATATAATGTAAGAATATCAAACTGAACTCTTCGAATTAATGGTTGTCCAGTTAAGAAACCAACATATTTCCCGTTATTTGTAAAAAGCGTTTTGCGATTGATACTCATAGTCAATCACTAGGATACAATTCATCAGGCATTTTCAGACTAAACGTTTCTATTGATAAATTTGGCATTAAGCGTCTGTTTTCTATAAAGAATAGTTAGAATTATTGAAAATTAAGTTTGAAATATCTAAGACATCGATGACATTTGATTTCGGTTCATTAAATAGGACTTATGGTTTTAATAATTGGATTTGTGTGTGAAATTACCCCTCATGTGTTCCCAACGGCGTAACAATTATCTGCTCTTCTTTTGTATGTTGTCGTATTGGTATGACAGCACCAACTCGACTTAAAACAAAATGTTTGTCAGTCATTACCTACACTACCGGTGTCCTAAATGAAAAGGGACTATTCAGTGTAATTTACCACACAAGTTTATTTCTTCGTTTTGTTTGTTTTGTAGTTTTCAATCTTTTGTTCCTGTGTAAAGATTTGTGGATATTCACTGTGTATCATCACTGTGCATATATGTACCCTTAATCTGGTTCTAGGTTTATTGTCTAAGAAATACTACATTACTGTACATATACCAACATATATGTACCCAGGTAGCTGCTATACGTTGGTATTTGAACAATAATGTTGTTTTTTTTAAGCCATGAACAGTCTGTAACTAGTGTGGTAATTTGTCTTTATTGTTTGTCGTTCTTCAGTGTTACTGATGCGTCAGGTGGATATGATTTTTGATAACCCCTAGTATATTTTCCTACTGTGTTGGCTCCTATTTAAAGCACTCTTTTTTTTAGATTAAACAAGCTATCAAAGTTACAAGTCGATATTGAAATGCACATATATTTGCTGCATAAAGAACGCGTTTAAAAGTTTGGTTCACTGTTGTCTGTGTAATCTGTTGCTATATACACCTTTTAAATAATCAATATTTTGTGTATCACAATGATTATTGTCTAGCAGATATGTTTCTTAATTTCCTTAAACAGGTCACAACAAAAAAACTTGTCCTCTCCATTAGAAAACAGATTTAAAGACGTAAGAAATGATTATAACGAAGGTATGTTTACATTTGTTAAGAAAGAATCATATGTGTGCCTCTTAAAAAATCAAAAAAGATACCAACATTGAATCAAATTATACAAAAAACTAGAAAACAAATATTATATTTTAATAAATTCAAATCTTAAAAACCGTATTACAAAATTGAGGCAAAAAATACGTAAGGGACATTCAAACTCATAATTCAAAAATAAACTGACAACGCTATGGCTTAAAAAGAAACAAGACCAACAGAGAAGACAAATAAATGTACAAACAACAGCTCAGAAAACTGCATGAACTCGAAAATAGGCGAGACTGGCTCCCCTCGAAAGTTCCCAGGGTATAGTGGTATCCTAGTCCAAATAATTATGACGTCTTGAAAGGCTATTTTAATTTTTTTCTGTGACGCCTTCCTACGACGTCATAACGCTGAAGCCATTTTTTCCGTCTGGACTTTGAGAGCAAATTTTGGGGGGAACTTTGAGAACCAATTTAGGCATGAAATTTTCATTGCCAGCTAGAAATTTTGGCATAGTTACAAAGTCCTACCTTTTTTGTGCTTAATGATGCAAAATATTTCCAGAAATATCCAAAAGATATGATAAAATAAGATACGATTTCATTTGAGGTGAGCAAATATTTACTTTAATTTCAAAATGGTTTCCCAGAATTTCCAAAATATGTCACTTCCGAAGAGTATAAAATATCAAACTCGGTAAAATTTGGCAGACCCGAATTTCCGGATAATATAAATCGAACGTTCCGGAAATTCTGGTCCATCAAATTTTTACCGAGTTTGATGTTTTATACTCTCCGGAAGCGACGTATTTTGGAAATTCTGAGAAACCATTTTGAAATTAAAGTAAATATTTGCTCACTTCAAATGGAATCGTATCTTATTTTAAAAAATTTCTTTGGATATTTCTGGAAATATTTTGCATCATTAAGCACAAAAAAGGTAGGACTTTGTAACTATGCCAAAATTTCTAGCTGGCAATGAAAATTTCATGCTAAAATTGGGTCTCAAAGTTTCCCCCAAAATTTGCTCTCAAAGTCCAAACGGAAAAAATGGCTTCAGCGTTATGACGTCGTAGGAAGGCGTCACAAAAAAAAAATTAAAATAGCCTTTCAAGACGTCATAATTATTTGGACTAGTGGTATCCATGAACACAGCCTAACAGGATGAATTGAGATTTGTCAATAACATAGGTTCACTCTACCACCAGGGACAAATAATCCCCAAATTGCCCCAACATATCACCATGGGAGTGCTAGGACACCGGGAAGTCTGTAATATATGTGTAACACTCAGAAACGTGTCCTTCCAGTTGGAAAGCAGGTCACGGTTTGACCCCAAGTCCATCAGCAACAATAGAGGTCACGTGACCGTGAAAATTCAGTAAAACTACGGATGAGACAAACCTCATTTTACTCACTAAAATATCATTGTCGTGATAAAAACTTATAGTTCCAAATAATCTTAAATATACATAGTTCTTATTCGTCAAAACTTACACATCAACTCAAAGTCCTTTATTCTTTATTGTATCTTCAAACATGAAGTTTGTGTGAAAATTGTCAAGTCTCCTGATCGAAAAATCTAAATATTTTCGAGGAAACTAAAAATGATGGGCTGAATTTAAATTTGGTAAAGCATCTCATTAAGACAAACACTCAATAGGAATATCTAGGCAATAGAGTTTTGGATACGCAAACGTTAAGTTATTTTCAACACGAAGCGGTGGTTTTTTGCCGATTTGTGCAAGTGGTAATCTCCCCTTGATATCACCAGTCAAAACTAAAAACCCAGCAAAATGAATAAAAAGGAGTTTACTTTTCAAAATTCAGGGAGAAAAGAAATGGAATTCGATTTACAACTGTCATATTATAATATTCAGAAGAGATACTTCCCTACTTCTCAGAGAAGGATTAGATGTAAGAATTAAATGACAAAAATGAGAAAAAAATTCAGAAATGTAAACCTAAATCTATTTACCTAAATTAATATAAATCAGCTCTTGCTGATGAAATTTACTTTGTAATTTTTAATAATGGAATATGGAATCACTCCTAGTGGAAATTTTTAAAAACACTTCTAATAATGTTTAATGCATTAAAACATATTTTATACAATTTGAATAATCTTTCTGAAAATGAAAATAATAATTGTACTGATCATTTATATCTTATGTTCTATAAAGTGGGACCAAGAGTCACACAATAAGTTTCTTCAAAATAAAAAAGCCTTTAAACTCAAGCCGTTTCTTAGTTGAACATTACAGTACTGCCTAGAAAATATCCTCCAGAAAAAGGATAAGTTTACCAAAAATATTGACAGAAAATCTATAAAAAATAATACTTCAAATTATAAGTGAAAGTGACATAATTTTGGATTTTAAAATCATTATTATTGTAAAATCAATTATTAGAGTAGCTAGCACAGCTAGTAGCCCTTGCCTAATTTCTCAGGGTATTTTATAGATTATGAAAGTAAACTTTTTGAAATAAAATGGGGCTTTTACTCTTCATGTTGCTGTATTAGCTGGTATACATATTTAAAAACAAAGTATTGTTTATTTTATCTTAATAATTGAATATTTATATCACAAATGAAAGTTGGCTGGACAAATCTTGTGCATTTTACTTAATGATCAATGAATTGTTAAATTTGACAAGAACTTGCCATTTGAATAATTCAATTTTGTAAGAAAACATCAAGTCAACATCTTAACTTCTTGTTTGACTTGATAATCTAGTCTTTGATCTTATAAATGTAGTAAGCTTACTTAGTAAAAGGATAATTAAATAAGTATGGTTTTTTAACTTATAAATTTAATTAACTGACCTTCATTTCCTTTTTCCTATGTGTTCTCCTCCAGAAATTTTCTATACAAGGCATTTTCTATTTTTATTTTTAGTGCTTTTGTCCATCCATATGCTATCATTAATTTGTCAGATTTGTTTCCAGTATGAATAACATTTGTAAGACGTATAGTTTCAAACGCAATATTTAAAGATGTTATTGTTTCACTTTTCCATTTGTGTAAATTTTAACTATCACTATGCACACACATATGACCCTGACACATATTTTGTTAACGTTATATGACGTATGTTGAAAATTTGAAAACAATCACGTCACCGTCAATTTGTGTAGGGGATCAAGAAGGGTTTTAATTACTTTGTAATTGTGAAAAACAACAATTTTCAATCACAATTTTATTCATATCTTTAATAAAATCAGTATTTTAGAGTACTTTGGTAACAGGTACAATGAAAAGAAGTTAAACTTCAGTTTTGAACTAGAAACGCAGCCAAAACCAGGTACAAATTGACATGACTGGTGGTCACTAAAATTGATGTATTACAGTAAAAAATGATGGCTTCAAAACTGTGTTGAAATTTGAAATAGGTTACTTGGTTTCATTTTAGATTATTACCGTTCTTTTCCGTATTTGGATACGCAAACGTCAAGTTATTAAAATTCGATTTTTTTGGCGAACAAAAAAGATGGCTGATAATTTTTAGAATGGACAGGACAAAGAAATAGAAAATAAAAGCTATTGTGGATAATTTTGTATGTTGTATTGAAACTATATTGCTAACAAAACCTACAAACTTCAAAAATCAATTATAATAAAAGCATGACAAGTTGAAAAGAATACTTTCAACGTCAATTTTTTAGCCGATTGATTTCGCGGACTTTTTAACGTCACCGACGACTGTAGCGTCACCTAAGTAATTCCCCCTGCTATTGTTGCTGATAGAGCTTGACGACAACGGACGTTTCCAAGGGCTTGCTTTCCAACTGCTTCCGCCCAAACGTGTCCGATTCCCCCAAACGTGTCCGCATGACGTCACTGAACTGCAAAACATGCCTAGTTGTAAAAGGGCGCCAAAGCGTGTCATTTGTATAAACGCCCAAAACGTGTCCAATCCCCAAACGTGTCCATATCAAGCTTCTTTGTTTTTCTCTTTTACTGGACCTATCATTCGCGTCCATATTATAAATAAGTAGGTTATTTGGTTATTGCTTTTTCATCAACGTATACTCATTTTACTATTTTATTAAAAAATAGAAATAAATTAGTATACTAAAATAGGCCATAAATTTCCGGTATGATAATAGAACCTATCTGCAGTATCTACTGATGTCGTTCAAATAATGCATGAAATATTTGACACTGGACGTTATCATGTCTCTTGTTTGTGTACATGTCTTTAGTGATGCTCGAAACCCAAAATTTATTAAAAAAACTGATAACCAGTTTATGATTTGAAGAGCTTTTAAAAAATATCAGAACCGTTGAAAAAAGGGAAGTCAATACTGCTGAAAGCCCGCAGTGCAATATTCGGATTAATATAACAGGCATTATCGGAGTTTATTAGTACAAAATAATTTTCATAATTCAACTGTACTATAATCATTTGTATGTTCGATCTAAATGAGCATGAAATACTTGCAACTGAACAATAAGCAATTTCAGTCAAAAGTTAATTCATATGTTACAGATTAAATTTGCAATTATGATAATCATTAACAACCGGCATTAAACAAACTAATGCTAATAAATGACCATTTCATTAACTGTGTCAAACATCATAGAATTGCCGTATTTTAGGACAGACATGTATTAGCGCTAAAAGACATGAGACGTTCTGTCGTTTGATAGTGGACTCGTTTTGGTGAATAACAATTATCGGACACGTTTGGGGGCTATGAAATCGGACACGTTTGGGGGCTATGAAATCGGACACGTTTGGGCAATATTGAATATTATGGACACGTTTGGGGAGAATAGACACGTTTGGGGGAATCGGACACGTTTGGGGGAATGGACACGTTTGGGAGTGTAACATATGTGTTAGTTTACAGATTTTTCTCATGTTTGGTCGGTCGAAAAAAAAAAAAGAATAAAAATATTTTGCAAGACATAGATATGTATATCATATTCATTTTGCGTTTAATATATGGTTCGTAAATAGATTTCCCGTTAAAATTATTTTACATTTGTCAATTCAGGGCTTTCTATCAGCTTGCGTTGTGGTATTGGTTTTTCTCATCATCAAAGACCGTACGGTGACCTATAATTTTTAACCTCGACGTCATTTGGTCTATGGTAGAGAGTTTTCTCATAGCCAATTATACCATATTTTCTTATTTTCATATCGTGTAATGTGAAACATAAACTTAGATTTCTCTTTACAGGTAGAACTCATAAATTAAACTGTATTTACTTTACCGTAGCATTGTTGATTGTCTTCGCCATTGTTTTACCATTATACGGTATGTATACAAACATAGTCAGATGAAAGCTAGATGTCGTGCAATTATCAGTTACAAAGTAACACACCAAGAAATTTCAAAGTTTAGTAGTTTTATCAAACAACAGGATAATACAAACTCTTTTCCGATGAAATTACTGAACAATTTAGGTAGCACGGTAGTATTTGCATTCCAGAATTTAGGTAGCAAGGTAGTATTTGCATTCCAGAATTTAGGTTGCTCTTTTGTGTACCCTACTTAAGTCAATGTATCTGAACAGTGTGATTGGACAAAAATTCAGTATCAACTGAACATACTTTCCCAAACTGAGGGATGAATCAGGTGTAGAAAAATATGAAATAATTCTACATACAGATGAAAATGAATTTTTGAGATTTTTTTTTAATTTTGTATTCACTGCACGATAAAAGACCTAAAAGCACTAATGGCCCTAGGTTTTTAAAGATAGCAAAAAAAGTAAACGATCATGATACAAATTCAAATTCATTTCTGAATAGAAAAATGAAAGTACTTCAGCTAACTGTGAATGTAGAATTTTTGGCAGTGTTAGAGAGTGGTGAAAATTCTAAAAAGACTCATTATCCCTTATAGGCCAGGAAATACTACCGTGCCACCTTAATGTGACTTACCGAATAAGACTATTTAACGGATTTGTAATACCATAAGCAACACGACGGGTGCCACATGTGGAGCAGGTTCTGCTTACCCTTCCGGAGCACCTAAGATCACCTCCAGTTTTTGGTGGGGTTCGTGTTGCTTAGTCTTTGGTTTTCTATGTTGTGTCATCTGTACTATTATTTGTCTGTTTGTCTTTGTTTTTGGCCATGGCGTTGTCAATTTGTTTTCGATCTATGAGTTTGACTGTCCCTCTGGTATCTTTCGTCCCTCTCTTAAGGCGGATATATATGTTTACACTAAATCAATAAAGGATGTTTTTTTTACCTATGCAATTGTAAGTTTATCAATAAAAAGTTGTTCAAGGGCAACTATAATAAAAAGAGCCCTTAAATTCCACCCCTGGGAGTGAAATTTGCTGATTCAGCAAATTTTGCCTGATCTGTGGGTAATATTGTAAAAATTAACCTAGAAAGTAGAACTTCATTATTTTTATTTAACATGCAATACATTTTTTATTATAAATGCTCGCTTTATATTCACCGAAATAAATAAATTGCATCATTTCTTATTTTTTTCCACACAAGGACAGCTATACTAGTTTTCTTATTGGTTAATTTGTAGTTCTGTGGTAACATGACACCAGTATGAGCTTTTTTGGAACCAGTAAGGGGTTAAGGGGTCCTTACTTATTCATTTAGTCTTCATATTTGACTGAAATAGAGATCGCAATAGGGGTTTCTTTACATTGACAAGACATTTTTTTGACAAAGAATGTAATCATGATTGAATATCAGCAAGATTTAATAGTTTATTCATTTTCCATGCAAATGTCATTAATTGTTTTGATTTTCTGACAATGAAAAACACAATAAAGGTAAACTGGTTATGTAAGGGGACATAATTTAACTTAACGCATACATGAGAAATAGACAAACAGTCAACTTAGAGATATATTCTAGTACATGTATGGTCAAAACGATTTTAGAATAATAGTTAACTGCCATCTAAAGAATCTTGTTGTGTTGCCTTCCTCATCTGAAAATGCTTAAAGTAATGTAAAGCATGCTGTAAAATGTGGAATGGACTTTAATATCATTTTTCATGATTTGGTGCTTAAACTGTTTCTTTCAGTCAGAATAACTAGAAATAGAGTTAACAATCCAATAGTTCCTCCTAAATCACCATATTTGACTTCTGTGTTGATTTGAAACGTCATCTATTTGGGTTTTGTTCACTCCTTAAGTAAAAATGGTAAGATAAAAAAAAAGTGAAAATCTGCCAGATGGGGTAGGGGTGTAATCTTTCATTTTTTGGTGGATAGATATAAGTGCAGACTAGTATTCTTTATTGTAATAGGTTTTCTAGTAAGAAGTCTATGCATCATAAGGTGTCATGACTGATTTCAAGTTTGTGATGTCTTGGTTAAGGTAGCACGGTAGTATTTGCATTCCAGAATTTAGGTTGCTCTTCTGTGTACCCTACTTTAGTCAATGTATCTGAACAGTGTGATTGGACAAAAAATACAGTATCAACTGAACATGCTTTCCCAAACTGAGGGATGAATCCGGTGTAGAAAAATATGAAATAATTTTACATACAGATGAAAATGATTTTTTGAGATTTTTCTTTAATTTTGTATTCACTGCACGATAAAAGACCTAAAAGCACTAGTGGTCTTAGGTTTTTAAAGATAGCAAAAAAGTAAACGGTCATGATACATATTCAAATTCATTTCTGAATAGAAAAATGAAAGTACTTCAGTTAACTGTGAATGTAGAATTTTTGGCAGTGTTAGAAAGTGGTGGAAATTCTAAAAAGGCTATCATTATCCCTTATGAGCCAGGAAATACTACCGTGCCACCTTTACATGTTTTATTTTTGACAAAATAAATTGCACTGCTACTGTCGAGGTTGACGGTTGACTATCAGTCTCCGATAGTATAATCAGCTCAGTAGTCAGTAATTCGGTACAGACTTGATTGATAACAAATCTTTCTTAAATTGCCCGTTGATAAAGTTTGAAATAATTAAGAAACTAAGTTTTAACTCCCTCAAAGAAAGTTGGCCTTAAATTGATGTGGCTATTTTGTAGGTATTTTTTGTCATAAAAGTCTTCAACTGTTTCGGTACTAATTTTTCCTCGTCTTTCAAATATTTGGCTTTGATCATGAACATCCCTGATGAAGGTTCATTCAAAAAAGTGCTTCGAACGCATGAAATTATCCAACGTGTTGTTTTCATTTATTGAAGCATCGAAACTACTCATAAGACTCACACGTTTCAATGTCATGTAAATACTCTATATGTCGACATCCTCTTTTTATAAAAATTGTTCTCTCTGTCTTGATCTTCAAGCTGTGGCAACGTCAATATCTGGCTAAGAAAACGATCTTTAATTTTTACTTATTTCTTTATTTATCTTGAACGAGTCTAGAAAGTATAACATCTCACAATCAAAAAAAAGGAGTAGTTGTATATTCAACAAGGTAATAAAAAAAGCAAGTTAACAAACCCACATTTGATATATATATGTCAGTGGTCAAATCTCCAGCCTAGATGTTATATACTAACGAGTGCAGACATTTCTGATGGACTGTTTACAACACAGTGTACTTTAATTGCAGAAATAAAAGGATAAATTGCAACAAGAAAATGATATTTATGGATCAGTCATTGTCGTTTTCCCCTCTGGATTTTTTTTTAAATTCAGTAATCCGATTAGCTGTGTATTTTTTATTTTTCCATTATTCAAATCGATAATATAAAAATTGATTTTTCTGCTGGCGTGAAACTGTTATTTGATGTGATATGTCACTTTTGATAGATGAAATTGGTTATACTTGTAGGTTTATCACAGTGGCCTGATGCATTCTATAAAGTTCCTTCGTTTAAATGGATAGTAGATTACCTAACGTTTATCAATATGTTGAAAAACAAAGAAAGAGTTAAGATTAAAAAACAGACTTCTCTTAAGGAAAAGAACAGAATCCTAATGAAAATACTTTTGCGTGGAAATAAAAGTCATTATGATCAATTCCTCGAAGCTTTAAACGCATTCGATGAATATAAAGACCTCGCATTACTAATACAAAACACAGAAGTTACCTCTAAAGATAAAGAACTCTTTCAAAATTGCACAGAAAGAAGTAATTAAAACATTCCTTCTTTGGCTGTATGTTTTTGTTCTATCTATTGTTTGAGACTGTATATTCCTCTCTTGATGTCTAAAATGCATGTACCAAGTCAGGAATATGACAGTTGTTAGCCATTCGTTTGATGTGTTTGACCATTTGATGAGGGACTTTTCGTTTTGAATTTTCCTCAGTTTTTTGTTCAGTATTTTAGTGAATTTACTTTTTAGTGCATTTTTGTTTACATTCATTTAATATTATTTGTGAAAAACAATCAATCCTGATGTACAAAAATTTATTAAAATGCAATCTACTGTGGATTCATTATTATTCGTTGGATACCAATTTTCGTAGATTTCATTGGAGAGGTGATCCACGAATTTAAATGTTCAACGAATTACAAATTTTCCATTGGCTTGTATGCAGACTTTGACAAAACTACGAAACTAAATATCCACGAAAGTGTGAGTTTTCGACAATCCACGAAAATTGGTACCCACGAAAATAAATAAATTCACAGTATTTGGTGGGTTGTTTTCGTATATTCAGATGACAGTCATTTATAGGAATATGACAGGAATACGATAACGTAGATAAACTGCTTTCACCAAAATATTATTTCGCATGTACATGCAATATGATGTCGAAGTGTAATATCGTCTTTTTCTTTTTATTAACACAAAACGAAACATATGATATAAACAAAGATCAAACTTAAAATAAATGATGATATAATTGAATGCTTTTGGACATCGATGAGAGGAAATTTCGATCGATTAGACGTCGGTTTGGTATAACATGATTGATGTGATATTGGACGTCGACTAGATGAATGAAATATTGGACACAGATTTGAGAAAGAGACCACACATATGACTTTGTTTTGAGGAACGGACGTGGATCTAAGTATAACATATAAAGCATAAGTAAAAAGATCAAGATACAAAGTTTCGCTTACAATTGAATGATTTGTCTTTAATAAAATAAAGCAGGCGTACGAACGAGTGAGCTCTTTAAACACACGCATAGCTCATTTTGATAAGGGACTGACATTGCTGAAGACCATTCGTTGTGCCAAAATGTCTGTCAAAACAAGTCCATTTCATTTTTGTTCGTATATTTTTATCTTTTATTATAATTTTATCATAACAAATTAAAACATCTAACTTTGTTTGTGTGTCTGCTGTTTTTTGCTTTGTGTAGTCTTTTCGATATGTACTAAAGGCTCTGTATTTAAGCATTCATAAATACATGTTTGTTCATCAACTTAATAAATATAAATCTATATTCATAAAATTGATCGGATATCTTCTTTCTTTGTTTGATGTAATGCCTGTATATTTTGATTTGATATTTTCTTTCTTTGACCAATGTAATGCCTAAATATTCATAAATTTGATTTGATATCTTCTTTCATTGTTTGATGTAATGCCTGTATATTTTTAAAACTGATCTGATATCTTCTATCTTTGTTCGATATACGGTCTGCAGAAATTGTGTTGATGCTTGGTTAATTCGTGTAAAAGGATTACTTAAAAATCGAGTGGGCTTTCGTTTACGTACATGACATATCAGGTATCGGTGACCAGTGGGTAGAAACTAAAAAAATAAAAACATTCATAAATAACTTCGTTTATAATGCTTGCAGATTGTGAACTGTTTTTGGTATGTTGGTTTATAGCTAACTGATAGAATGTTCGTTTGTTTTGTTTGAGAGAACATTGAATGATTTTTACTTTTTAGGAAACACAAGGTTATTTAAAAAAACGTTATTTAAATGAGCAAGTTTATACTTGTTTTGGCTTTCGAACTTTTTTGATCTGAGCGTCACTGGTTAGTCTTATGTGGACGAAACGCGTGTCTTGCGTATTAAATTTTAAACCTGGTACCTTTTGTTAGCTATTATTCGTATGTTTCTCTGTCCTATATGTTCTCCCATTTATGTGTATTGTAGTTCTGTCATGTAATAATGTCATTTTAATGTTATATTTAACATTGCCATAAAAGCGGGAGGTTTGGCTAGCCACAAAACCAGGTTCAACCCACCATTTTTTCTTAAAATGTCCTGTACCAACTCAGGAAAATGGCCATTGTTATATTATAGTTCGTTTCTGTGTATGTTACATTTTAATGTTGTGTTTCTGTTGTGTCGTAGTTCTCCTCTTAAATTTGATGTGTTTCCCTCAGTTTAAGTTTGTAACCCGGATTTGTTTTTTTCTCAATCGATTTATGAATTTCGAACATCGGTATACTACTGTTGCCTTTATTTATCAGAATACCAATGGGGACTGAATGTGCACCACTTATTACAGACCTATTTATCTATTGTTATGACTAAAATCAGCAAAGGCCCATCGAAACAACATCTGATACAAACTTTTAGTGACACTTTCAGACATTTGTATGATATATTGGCTCTCAATAATGACGACTTCAGTATGTACACTTATGAGATTTATCCTGCTGAACGGACTTTAAATTAAGCTAACACTAACAAAAAGAATGCCCTTTTCCGGTTATTGATATCTATATCTTTAACGGGAAACTGAATACCAAAATAAATGATCAATGAAGTGATTTTTCATTTCTTCTTGTTAATTGTCCATTTTTAGATGGTGAGGTGTCCTTGTCACTATCTTATGTTGTTAATATACGGACGGATTTAAGAAACGCAACACATACTTTGTTTATGTTTGCATCAAATCATGACTTATATTCATTTCATGGCTTATCATGCTTCCCGTACTCCTTTTTTAATATAAAAATCAATACCTTAATTTCCTCAGACAACCAAATATCGCTGAATTTCGACGTCGCATGAATTTCTTGACACGAACTTAGAAGCGCATACATGTTTTTTTATCTACGTTTAACATTTCCTGAATCAATTGCCAAGTTCTAATCAGTAAAAAAATATTGATTTTCCTTTTCGTCACGACTGAGAAATGAAAATTAAAATTAAGTCATTTAAAATTTACAGACGGAATTTAATGCACGTTCTTTTGAGAACAAATTAGCGCTATAAAATTACTTTTAAATCCCTGAAACTTCAGAGCAGGTAGTCATAACTCGTAAGTGACCACCTATTGACCCAGTCAACCTGTAGTTTAATGTTACGTCATTTCAATCAAATTAGGCAACGTCATAAGCAATGTTTCTCGTATGCTGAAATGCCATATAACCCACGTTAATTATGTTTATCAAGGTTTAAGTGTTCACCACATTACTGCAAAAACAGACTGGATTGGGGGGAAATGGCATAAATCAAAAGGGGGAAAACTTTGACTCAAAACATTACCAACAGCATTATATTGGTTAACCTTTCTGTCAGTCAATTAGCGATATTTAACAGCTGTCTTTACCTTTGACGATTGACAAGACCAGCAAAATAAGAGAAAAAAACAGGATTTCTTTGCATTCCACACGATTTAAACGTTAACGTTATCAATTCAACTTTCGAATTTCAAATTTACCTTAGACGATGAAGAAATGAATCAAATTATTATTTAATTTAGTTTTGCATGCGTAATGTGTATCTCAAAATGAAAAACTAAAAAAACTAATCAAGTGTTGCGTTTTTTAAAGTCCGTAGTTGATATTCCTGAAATGGTACAGGCATTTCATTGTGTAGAAAATGGTAGATTAAACCTGGTGTTAAAGCAAGCTACATGTCAACCTCTCACTTGTATGACAGTTGCATTAAATTCCATCATATTGACAACCACGTGTTAGCAAAACAAAGATGCATATTAGGTAAAAACGTCAACAATTAGGGTACAACAGTCGACATTGTAATATAATCTTTATCAATAGCAAGTAAATGTTTCAACAAAGAAACACAAAATGGTATATAGGCAAAGTACATTAGCAAAATTGAATTCAAAATAAGGAGATGTGGTATGATTGTCATGAGACAACTATTCACCAATGTTGAGATGAAGTGAATGTAAGCAACCATATGGCCTTCAATAATGAGAAAAAAATCATATTGTATAGTCGGCTATAAAAGGCTCCGACACATTTGTTTTCATGCTTTTGATAATTGATCTTATTGAACTTTTCGTCAATTTCAATTACAATCTAAAAAAAAAAATGTGGGAGAAATGAATTAAAAAGAATGTTAACAAATTGAGTTTGACACTAGCGTATGTTTGATGTTTAACGGACGCAATCATGAATTGACCGTTATGAAATATCTGTGTCATATGATCATGAATATGTCCCAGCTGACTTTATAACAATTTCGTTTTCCTTCCACATTATTGAATGAAACTTACGAATGACAACTCTTATCGTTTCCACTTGCAAACATAAAAAGGAAAGAGGAGCACATGTAGGACTAGTAACACATTATTCACCATTACATGCACTACACATTTCACTAGTAACTTAACAGGAAAAACTTAATGGACACAACCTTTGGAGCCTCTGTATTGTTCCACAGACATAATCTTTTACAGAATTAATTGTTCGTCGTGTGGGCTTCTTTATGTTGGTGCAACTCCACAAACTTTGCGTAAAAGAATGAATCAACAACGGTCTAATACTAAAGATCCATAGTTCATGGTTTTTTATAACAAATTGAATAAACCGGACCATGATCTATTGCTATCTATGAAAGTAGGCATCATAGAGAAAATCGATCATTGCACAATAACACTATACTAAGTACTCCCTTCCGTAAAGATAAAGAAATTTTCGAGATAAAAGAATTAAGTACTGCAATACATCAATTGAAACCATAACTTCAAAGTTAATATGGATTCTCATGAGGACTACGCAAGAGCATGGGCTAAACGAGAAGAATTTTTTTTCACAATGGGTAAATGCAATCAGGTCTCTGATGATAAACGTCAAATTCCTCAGTTGAAAAACTCATGAAACTGTTGAATAATCGACCGACGACTGTATCAAAAAAAAATAAGATGTGAAATGTATATTATTACTTCACGATAAATATCTTGTTGTTCCTGCGGCAGATACGTTCTATAATATTGGCTTTGTATGTAAATCGTACTACTACGAGTTTCTTGTCGAATAATAAGCATAAATCAGCACTCTGGTAATCCCACATTCAAAAACATATCATTTGACAAGGATGAAAAGTTGGTGAATCATAAGTCTCTCATGGCTTCAATGAACATTTACATTGAACAGAAACTCTGAGGACTTACCTTGTCTGTATTGGATACCTACGCTTCACAAACTTTCATACAAACAACTGTACATTGCAGGCTTATCTGCATGTTTTACAAAGTAATTGTAAATTAGATTGACAAAACATCTGTCCGCAGTGAAATACTGTGAAACTGTTTACTTACGTAGTGGTCTTAACCATATGTGGATTCTAAAAAACTGTAATGAACTTCTGGATAATTTCAAATCTCGATCTTTCTCTGAAATTTATTTTATCAAAACTTTAGATTTTCTAACGCAGTACACTACAATACCGCATGTAAAACTAGAAAAAAACGTCTTAAACAATAATCCACAATGCTTTCCAATATAAAATTGGTAGCATACGCAAGAATTTTATTATTTAAAGCTATCAGACGACATATTATCTGAACAGAAAGGTAAAGCATGCTACACAGAGGACCAAGTTAGCTGTATGCTGGTATTATTGACAACATATTTGTTGAACTTGGAGGTAGACTTTTTCAACATATTACCAGTGTTCCTATGGGAACGAACTGTGCGCCTCTCCTTGCCGACCTCTTCTTAATTTCCTATGAGTCGGTGTTCTTTCACACACTTGTCAAAAAAAGAAGATCAATGAAGCCAGATCATTTAATTTCACATTCAAATACATTGATTTTGTTCTTTCCATTAACAATTCATTCTTTTCTGATTGGGTTCTATTTCTATCATTCTATATTCTCCTGAACAAGACATTAAAGATCAATAAACGCATCTTCTTCAGCTTCATTTTAGACTAATACCTCATATATAGGCATAAGTGTTCATCTTGTTACCATATTTTATGACAAACGAGACGATTTCAATTTTCAAATTATCAATTTTCCCTACCGTTGTATCAATATACCAGCTCCACCAGCATATCGGATATATATAAATTTGCGAAAGCAACAGATCTAACATTGTTAGGCTGATGTTTAGACGAATTATATATATATAATATATATAATTCGCCTAAACATCAGCCCAACAATGTTAGATCTGTAAATTTGCTTTCGCAAATTTTTTGTTCTTCCCTCGCCGGGATTCGAACTCATGCTACTGAGATATCGTGGCACCAAATCGCCTGCACTGTGCCCGACGCGCTAGACCACTCGGCCACCTAGGCTATACACTCATTTCCCAATACATTCGATTTTCGAGAGCTATCAGCTGCTACCCAGACTTAAACGTCACTACTCAGTGTCTAAGCAGAAAGTTAATGAACCAGGGTTAGGTCAAAGAACGTCTCGTTTTTGTCATTAAATGAGTAAACGGTTTTTATTTTAGCCTAATAAACGGAGAGTTGTTATTGCTTTAAAAAAATGATAGAAAATTGTACAGTAAAACCTTTATTGACATTATAACACGAATTAAATGTTTGAATACTCTGTAGATTGCATTTAAATCATGGTAAATGATGACCTAACGCAGGCCATTATTTTGTGCTTTAAACCACATTTTATTAAAACTTGTGAAATTCCAGGTTTGGTCTTCAAATAAAGGACCGAAAGACAACAACCTTGTAGGTATATAATATAAAGATAACTTTATTCAACTGAATAAACTTGTCACATCCTATTGTATTTTAATTTCTCATCGATGATTAAATGCAGTTGGTTCATTCGTGTAGTGTGAAGACTGTGAACATATATTGTCCTACGTTATTTTGTTATTATATGACTTACATTAACGTCTCTGATCAACATGATATGCAATCTTATATTACTAGATACGTGATTTTTGGTTTATTTATTTATCATTTTAGGGGGGGGGGGGGGTCACTAAATTCCAACTAAACTAACTATTACCAATTACAATAGAATAGTAGGTACTTTTAATTTAAACCAATTATATGTACACAGGTCGTTTGCCCTTTTCAATTCATAAAGACTGTACACACCTTGTTTGTGCGATAGTTTCAGTATTTACATACAAATGCTTCTTAATAACTTTAAAAAATAATACAAGCCCCACATTTTTTTGGTCCAATACAGGCCATTCCCGTTATTAATCAAGTTATCAGTTTTGACGTAAGAGACGAAAAAACTAAATTGGTGCTTCAACGATTTACAATAAAATACGTAGAAAGGTTAGGACGAAGGCCGTATAAGTTTATGTAATGTAATTATTGTGTATGTTTTATCAGAAACTTTTTCACAAGTTTTGTAAATCACAGTATCTCTGTCAAAGTTGACTGAAATAATTTAAAGACAGTGGGCATGCGCCGTGTCGGTAAAAAAAATGATAACAAGGAAAAAAAGTTAAAAATGTGTAGCAGTACTTTTGGAAGTGAAAAAAAAAAAAAAACTCCCAAAACAAATTACTTTTTTAATCCGGCACTTAAAAAAAGCTAACATACTTTACATGATCACAAACTTAAGTGTTTCAAAGATCAAACGATATAAGTCGTCTTATTTTTACTTGAAGTCTGCCAGATATAATAACTTACAAAATCGACCAAACAACATATTAGTTAACTTTTCACAGCTGAAAGTTTCAAGCCTAAAAATGTAAAATGTAACCCGGAACATCTGTGTATACCTGTATGTTGGAGTAGACCATCCGTGTTAAACGTGTATATATTACTGACCCGGCACGTCATCATCATCATATCATCATCACATCATCATCATCATCATCATCATCATCATCATCATCATTATGATAAAACAAATTATATAATAACAAAAATACCTCTCCTTTTATTTGTAAAAAAACAGAGATAGTAGACCTCTTTCGAGTTGTGTCTATTAAAGTTCATCAAGCGTCTTCGTGATCGTCATTCTGCAGGATAAACTAGATTGTTGTTCATTATTCTAAATTTTGAACGACGCCCATAAACGCACGAATGATGTTCTCTAAAACCGAATATTTTGACGGAATTAACGAACTCGAAAGTTGTCTATTGACTTTAATATTAACGGATGGGAGCACTTGCAGTCATGTGTGTAAAAGAACAATTAGAATAAATGTTATGGACCATTACCAACTGATCAAAAGATAGAACTATGATTTTGTTATGAGTTCGCCAGTTTCGATAGATCTTAATTTTATACGGTACTAGTTATGATGATGATGGAAGTTTTTAACGATTTGACTGGCTATACAGCCCTTGCACGGTCGGTTGTAGTTATGTTCTTGCTCTGAAGATATTTATACGGTAATCGTTATTTCCTTGCTCCAACAACATTTTCCAAACAATTTTGAATAAACATTTTTACATTCCACTCTGAACTGTCTTTCCAAAAACAGATAAACTACAGGATTCCCCGCACTACTGATGAAAAATCCTCTGTACATTATGGCTGACATGGATTTAAAGGAACCAGTAGTGTCTGGATTGATAAAATCAATCAAAAAGCTGATTACAGTTAACAAATATCCAACATAAGACATAGTTGATGCCGCAATGAATAAAAATGAAATATCCCGCGAGTATTTAAGACTGTCGTTCGGTTTTTCAGTTTTATCCCGTGTCTTATCCTTTTGATCATTGTTGCTTTTTGCTAAATTTGTCTGAAGCCTTGTAGAGAACCTACTTTTTATCTGACTGGTGATTATCTTTATAACAATTGAATATGCAATAATGCAAATTACGTATAAAATATTCAATAAAACCGCTAAGAAAACAATGAATATAATAAAATAAGATGCCATAAAATATTTTGGATCGACTGTACACTGGTAACTTTCTACATCCGGTGTTCCATTTTCTACAGCACCATAAAAATAAACACTTGGTACAGAGATTAGCCCTGCTATTATTAGAACCACAAAACAAGCAATGTGGGCCTTTTTTAGTGTGAATTGTCTGCCATGGGGATTCCCAAGTTTTCTTTTCCGGTGGATTGCAATGACGGCTAACATGAAACCGGATGATATCACCAGAGCATGCGTAAGGAATCGAAATAGTTTGCAAACGATGTCATACTTATATGTCATATTCCGAACGACAATGGATATTTCGAACGGGATGCAGATAACACATACTGCAATATCTACCGAGGAAAGCCACTGAACAAAAACACGGCAATTTGTTGGTTTAAAACGGAAAGTGTAAATCAGAAACGCATGCGCATTTCCAAATACACCGACAACGCAAAGTAAAGATAAAAATATTGTAACTCCAATGCCATCCTTTTGAAAATTATGTTCTTCCAAGTCTTGTACGGTCAGATTTGAAAACATTCCTTTTTGTCTTTCGAAATGGACTTCAATTCATCTACAAAAAAGTATCAACATGAAGTTATGAAGTTAATAATCGACACAGCTGTGAATGATTCCATTTAGACAGTTTTTACATGTATCCCTTATCAATTGCTAACCCCTGTAGCTTTGTTTACATATGTTTTCATTGGACGATTTTGGCTGTTCCATTAAGACCTCGTTCGGTTTTTAGTGCTTTCAAATTTGGGGTTCAGTAGGGTACCCCTTTAGGTCACAAGGTCAAGTTTCAAAATTGCCTCAGGTCTCAAGGTCACTTTTATGCAAACGAACGATACATCTCTTAGCTGATCTGATTCTCGTTTTTAAATATTTTTAAAGGTCACAGGTCATTTTGATTAAAGACGTCAGATCGCCAGGTCTACCATTAAACCCCAAAGGACACAGGTCGAATTTTGCTTCCCAAATTTCATTGATTGATTTAAACACATAATGTGTTTATACTTAAAACGGTATCATATATGATCATACGTTTCTATTAATAGTTTGCTCAGTGGCGGATCCAGGGGTTCCGGGATTTGGAACCCCCCTTTTTTTACGAGCAATGCTTTTAAATGGGGACATGTGGTTAGAAACACGCCCCCCCCTTATCCTGGGTTAGAATCCCCTTTTAAAAATGACTGGATTCGCCCCTGTTGATTATTTTCTTACCTTAATTTTGTAGACAGACGAATAAATATAACCTCACGGTAGTAAAGTCCGACCTTCGAAGTCATATAGCAAGTAAATATTATACATGTTACTGTGTGACCAGTTAAGTACTTATGGTTAACGTAGGTTGTTCTGACTAATATAAAATATGGTAATTAGCAAACAGTATAACCCGCGAAAATGTCATCCTATATTATGTAATAATATTATCACATAATTTGCTTTTTATTATCAGATCAATACTTTGTATGTCTAAATGTCATATAATTATTGTTTTTGTCGTAAATGAGTTGTCATTTTAATTTGTTGATAAAATAGTCAACCCAAGGGGAAAAACCTGCAACAACACAGATGATAAAAGGAAAGAAAAACATAATCATACATACGTAAAATAAAGTGTCAACAAATCGAGAATGTCGTTCTATAAATTCATAAAAAAGCAATATATTGATTGTTGTTTGTTTAAAATCAAATCAGAGGTTAATAGTTCATGCATGTTTTCGAACAAAAAAAATGAAATCAAATTTATGATTATTCGATTTTTTCAGTTACCTATTACGAGGAAACCTTAAGTCGGACATACTTTTTGTGTTGCATACAGTATAGTATAAGAGATAAATTTTATTTCCAATAGAGGACCCATTATAGGCATAGTCACTACATTGATTTGTTTATATCACACAATTGCAATAGACAATACACAAGAAAATAAAAAGAAAAAAAAAGAAATACAACTGAAAAAAAACATGAAATAATAGTTAATAATACATGTAGTCACGTAAACCAGTATGTTTAGTGTTTATTGACCATGCACCAGAAGCAGCATCACATCCATTATAAAAAAAGCTTTTGAGTCAAGTCCTTCCTCGTGGCTGATGCATATGAACAAATAGTATTGTTGTTGTTCATATGCAGGAGTCACCAAGGGCAGGTGCTTAAAGGATACTCAAGCCAATACACAGAAATATGAACACTTTACAACACAAGCATAAACTAATACTTAAAAAGAATTACTATATTATAGTCCTCCTTGTGGCTAATGCACATAAATAAGATTAATATGTAGTTATCCAAATGCAGGAGCCACCAAGGGCAGGTGCTTAAAGGACATAGTAATATATTGTGTAAAATTTTTGTGTAAAAATATTTGGATTTGGATGCAGCCTCTAGCACAACTTGTCCCAATGCTCTGAGAGAAAAAAAGAGAATACACAAAAAACACAAACAATGGTATGAATTATGAGTATTTTTCATTCTGTTTTATGAAAGCACACATTTCATACAAGATATCCTTGCTTTCATTACTCATTAACCAAATAAACTGATCTTTAATTGTCAACATATCAAAATTAGCACAATATTTCCTAGCACAAAGTATTAATTTACGTCTCTCATTATTTAATGAGGTACAATTAAGAAGAAAATGTAACTCATCTTCAACTTCAGAGCTTGAGCATCTGGGACAAGTTCTATCGTGTCGAGGAATACCCTGATACCTTCCCTTTTCAATCTTTAGGGAGTGTGCTGAAACACGCAGCCTTGTCAGATTTTTTCTAATATCAACATTGTGGATTACAGATAAATATTTTTTCACAGACAAAATTGTTTTTATAAAGTACATAAGAACACAGTTTACTACCAGCATGTATTTGTAATGGCTGCTCCCATTCTTGTAAAAAAAACAGTTCTTAATAAACTTACTATTTACATTCAGTAAGTTTTGATTGTTCATTGGGTTAGCAGACTTAATAATTTTTAATATCATATTTAAACAACCATACCATGAAGGTTTTTTTGCATCAGATAAAAATATTGATTCATGAAAAGCACTATCTAGCAGTGGAGATATGAACTGATTTCTTATTAACCTGTTATAGTATTTAACCATAGCTTTTACAATATTGCAATATAAAGGAAGTCTGCCCAATTCAGATAAGACAGCTATATTTGTTGTTTTTGAGTGGACACCAAGAATATATTTACAGAATTTTAAATGCAGTTTTTCTGCATGACATTTATCATAAATTTGATGAAAGGTTAACAAGCCATTCCTAAATTTAGATGTGAACGGATTAAACATTCCCCACACCTCACAACCATATAATAGAATTGGTTTAATTGTATGATCAAAAACATGCACACTAGTTTTAACAGAAGGATTCAGTGACAATAAATCTTTTGATAATTTGAAGTATGTAAGGCTTTTTTATAGAGTTCTTCTTGTGCAAAGGAAAATGATCCTGATGCACAGAAGTGAATACCAAGATATTTGTATCTATTTACACATTCAAGCAACACATTTTTAATCTTAAATATATGATGGATATGTCTACCTGCTTTGTTGAATATCAATACTTTTGTTTTTTTTGGTATTTACAGTTAGACACCAATCATTACAATATTGATCAAGTAAATCGTTTCTTTTGAAGTCCTTCCGGAGAACTTTATAGTAAAATACAATAGTATAAGTGCATTTGTTTTCTGACTTTGCGTCCGTTCGTTCTCTCGGTTGTTCGTCCGTCCGTCTGTTCTGTTCATGTTTAAGTTTTGATATATGGTAGTTTCCCCTGAAGTAATAGTCATATCAACCTGACATTTAGAACACCTGTTCCTTGTGATGTGAATTTTGTAAAGTATATATACCAAAATTATGACTAAGACCAAGAATTTGCAGTTTACTGAAAATAGAAATGTGATATCAAGAGCGGGGCATGACATCCCTTCTTGTTATGAATTCCTTATGAATAAATCAGGCTTTACAACAAGGAGAAGAACTTCCATTCATAAGATAAAGTTAAATGATTTTTTGGATCACCTGTATACTCCTCCTCTCTTGTTAGTTCTTGCATGATCAAGCATTATATTGGTAAGCTCATGTGGTTGTTAGCATCTAAACCTGTCTTCCGAATACGTGTTTCTCTAGCCAGGGATTCAGGCTCATTGTTCGGTTTACTGACGCGAGGAGGATGGACCAGGATACTATCCTAATGCTCTCGTGCTGATATTTATGTAATATTTGCCATTGAACATTAAACACCAATCTGTTATAAACATGCTCTCGTCCCGAATTGTGTGTAATGTTTGCCACATAACATTAAACACCAGTTAAAATACCAACTGAAAGGTTTGGAAAGTCACGTACATTAAACGTGTTTGCAGGGTAAAATGATCAAGACAAACGTCGGAAGAATTGTACCCTTTGTTTTAGTATCATAACATTATTTAAAAACAAGTTTACCTAGTTTCTTTGATGAGTTTCAACACTTATAATGCGTAGGACGTTCTAAATACAGTCAACGCTTATAATGGGTAGGGTGTTCTAAATACAGTCAACACTTATAATGGGTAGGGTGTTCTAAATACATTATAATGGGTAGGACATTCTAACTACAGTCAACACTTATAATGGGTAGGGCGTTCTAAATACAGTCAACACTTATAATGGGTAGGATGTTTTAAATACAGTCAACACTTATAATGGGTAGGGTGTTCTAAATACAGTCAACACTTATAATGGGTAGGGTGTTCTAAATACAGTCAACACTCACTTATAATGGGTAGGGCGTTCTAAATACATTCAACACTTATAATGGCTAGGGTGTTCTAAATACAGTCAACACTTATAATGGCTAGGGTGTTCTAAATACAGTCAACACTTATAATGGGTAGGGCGTTCTAAATGCATTACGTATGGAGGAACGAGAACATGAACAGCAGTGTATGTACAGTACGACGCAAAATCTGATTTCTGCTGAACTGAGTATTTGTATTTATTTTTATTTATTTTTTTTTGGGGGGGGGGACGATGAGAGCGATGATAGCATGAGCATGACTCTTCGGGTATTGGTGGGGGTGGGGGTGGAGGCGACAATGAGACTGATGATAGCATGAGTATGACTCTTCAGGTATTGAGGGTGGGGGTGGAGGGGACAATGAGACTGATGACAGCATGAGCATGACTCTTCAGGTATTGGGGGTGGGGGTGGAGGGGACAATGAGACTGATGATAGTATGAGCATGACTCTTCAGGTATTGGGGGTGGAGGGGACGATGAGAGTGATGATAGCATGAGTATGACTCTTCAGGTATTAATGGTGGGGGTGGAGGGGACGATGAGAGTGATGATAGCATGAGTATGACTCTTCAGGTATTTGGGGTGGGGTGGGAACGATGAGAGTGATGATAGCATGAGTATGACTCTTCAGGTATTGGTTGTGGGGGTGGAGGGGACGATGAGAGTGATGATAGCATGAGCATGACTCTTCAGGCATTGAGGGGGGTGGAGGGGACGATGAGAGTGATGAAAGCATGAGTATGACTCTTCAGGTATTGGGGGTGGGGGTGGGGACGATGATAGTGATGATAGCATGAGCATGACTCATCAGGTATTGAGGGGGGTGGAGGGGACGATGAGAGTGATGATAGCATGAGCATGACTCTTTAGGTATTGGGGGTGGGGGTGGGGACGATGATAGTGATGATAGCATGAGCATGACTCTTCAGGTATTTGGGGGTGGGGGGATGAGAGTGATGATAGCATGAGTATGACTCTTCAGGTATTTGGGGTGGGGTGGGGACGATGATAGTGATGATAGCATGAGCATGACTCATCAGGTATTGAGGGGGGTGGAGGGGACGATGAGAGTGATGATAGCATGAGCATGACTCTTTAGGTATTGGGGGTGGGGGTGGGGACGATGATAGTGAAATTTGAATATTTTGAAGTCTTGATTATATTAATCACTTTTGCAATTCATTTATTTGAATAGATAGGAATCATCTCGATGTGCTCTTGGTAGTTTTTGAAAACAAAGCTTGACTATTTTGCACAAAAAAAGCCATGGCACTAAAATAAATACTTACCATTATAGCATTTCTGTAATATAAAAAAATCAAATCGAAGCACACTATTATACACGTAAACTTTGTTTTTGTATTAATAATTCATTTCTAAATCGTCCTCAGTGGTCGATATGGTTTGTTATAATTTATAAAAAAAAAAGATGGATAGTAATGTGAATAACTTACACCTCCGAACGGAAATCTGTAACCGGATTTTCTTCCTATTAATACATATATGTTTCTTCAAGACGGAAGTCCTAAGTTTCAGTTAGTCAAGAGCAATATTTGTAAACCACTTGGATTTTTTTTGTATGCTTACCGGATATATATACATATATTTTACTTGATAATTTACACTATCAACACAATCACTGATTCAGCGTGTAATAAAAATATTTTAAAACATGTAGTTACCAAACGACACATTTCAGTAGAGTATGCGACTATTTGATTTTCGGGATCGGAGATTTGATGCGGAGGGAATATTATTT